CTAATTTATTTATAAGTACAGTTAATAAATATTTATCCTGTTGATTATCAGTTATTAATTATGTTAGAACAACTAATCTAAATAAATTCTTAAATCTAGATTTTTTATTATTATTTTGGGTTACATAATGAAACTCTTTCTCATATCTTAACTGATCATATGCTTATATATTATGTAATTTAAATTCAAAATATTTTACTACTTTCTTTGCTAGGAGATTATTTCCTCTAAGGCAAAAGGTACAGATTTCTACCCAAAATTATTGTATTGAAGTAAATCACTACTCAAAATAATATTGACGCAATCTGTTACTTAAAATATTTATTTTTAAAAAATCAACTTAAATGTAATGGTTACTATAAAATTTTCATTAAACGTCAAGAACAATAATTTAACAAAGTATAATAACAATTGTTAAATTTAAGCTGATTTTTTTTAAAATAAAAATTTTGGTGACAAATTATATCAACATTTTTTTTAAATAACAAATTTATTTTAAACCAATAATTTTAAAGGAAAATTTACATCTTTTACCTAAAAGGGTGCAAATTAAGTATTATTTTATTTTAAATTTAAAAATAAAATTTTTAAAAAATAAAAGTTTGAAACTTTTTAAAATTCATTGTTTAGGTTTTTTTAAAGTTAAAAAATTAAAATTAAAATTTAACTTTAAAAAAACTACTCTAAATTAAACATAAAACTTGTGTCCACACTTACATGTAAAATTTTCACATATAGAAAGTAGTAAAAGTAATTAAATAAAAGAACTGAAATTTCAATGGCGTGATTCTGATCCATAAAAACAAAAATAAAAAACGAAGTAGAGAGGAAAGCACTTGAATGAAAAACGATACCTTCCAATTACCACCGACTTAAACGGCAAAGCATCTGAAATTTCAATTGAAAATGAGTGTCGACTCCCCGTGGAAAATGATAACTTGTAGAAAGTAGTAAAAAAATAATGAATTTTTCATACATATCTCCTTCCTTCACGGCATCGTATTGGGGGCAAGGCTCTCTTTTTGATGAGTAGTATGAAAAGTTGCGACAGTTCGGGACTGCATGAGTGGAGGGTCTCTTAAACTTAGGGTCTGTTTGGGTTGTTTTTGAGAATTTTTATTTTTTGAGTATTGAGTGATAAATTTAAATTTTTATTGGAGAAAAAATTTAAAAATTATTTTTAGAGATAAAAAAAAATAAGTGAAAAATGAGTTTACAAAAAATTTGAATTTGAAACTTTTAAATTTTTACTGTTTAAT